GTTGTCCAATTAATTTCTTTCTTTTTTTAGTAGAGACGGGGGTCTCGCTCTTGCTCAGGCTGGTTTCGAACTCCTGACCTTGAGCGATCCACCCGCCTCAGCCTCCCAGAGAGCTAGGATTACAGGCGTGAGCCACCGCGCCTGGCCTTTTCTTGCTGTTTTAATTGGAGAATTCTGTGTAGAAATCAAGATCTGGGTGTCCTCAATGCTTCTATACCCTCTCAGCAGAGAGAACTAGGAAATATACGTACATTAATTCGCACATACACACAGACCTATAGTTCAGTATCTACTGTATATATTAAAAAACTATTGTGTTTATACTGATACATCTATTTCCAATCCAACACCACAGTCCTCATTTTAGTTTTCTATTTTTTTTCTCTAACAAGGAGAAACCCAGCACATTAACTACAGCAGCGGTCCCCAACCTTTTTGGCACCAGGGACCAGTTTCATGGAAGACAATTTTTCCACTGATGGGGGTTGGGAGGGGAAGGGGGAGCTCAGACAGTGATGCCAGTGATGGGGGGCAGCTGTAAATACAGATAAAGCTTTGCTAGCCCGCCACACACCTCTTGGTGTGTGGTTGTGGGGGCCTGCCCTCACCCTGTTTCCTAAGTTTCATGGAAGACAGTTTTTCCACAGGGGTTGGGGGTTGGCATAGCTCTGCGGCTTGGTCCCTAACATACCCTGGACCGACTGGTACTGGTCCAAGACCTGGGGGTTGGGGACTGCAGATCTATATAGTATATTTACTTACTCTAGTATATACATAGTTTCAGATTGCTAACCTATTCCCCTGTGAAAAACCTATGTGGATCACAGCATTTACATACCGCTTACTTGGTTTTATCCTTAAGTATCCAGCCAAGATATTGTTTCTCTGTTACTTAGGTGAGTTCTTTTCTTCCCCACCCCCTGCAGAGTGGCCATGTTACTCATTTGTAATACGGCTAAATTCATTTGTTAGTGTTTACATTCAGTTTTGGGTCTCCTACACATCTTGGTTTTTCTTTATTTCTTTACTATCTGGATATGTTGACATATAAAGTTTATTCAAAATGATTGTTAAATAATATTCTGTATATTTTCTCTATTTTCTAATGTATTTTAAACAATACCTTCATTTTAGCCCAGTGAGATCCAAACTGTAATCTAATAAATTTGTGTAGTTCTGAGCCACTAAGTTGTGGTTATTTGTTAGCAAAGCTATAGAAAACTAATATAACAGACAACCTACATTCAAACTTTAAAGGCCTCTACAATTTGGTTTTGCTAACCTATTGACTTTTCTCTATTTCTCTCCTTTTGGCTTATGCTCCAGACAGATAGAACGGCTCTTTGCTACTCAAATATTATTCTAGTTGGTTTTAGCTGTTTATTTTTTGGGTACCTCAGGGGTATGTGAAACATTACTATGGTTCACAGTTAGCCCCATACAAAAAGATTTACCATTCCCTCCTGAATCCAGCTACAAAATTCCCATTCCTCTCCTTCTTCCTACACTCCCCATACAAGAAATCAATCATGTTAGTTTATGGTTAATCTTGAATTTCATTTGCATGAATGAGCAGACATCTGTGTTTCTTACATTCCTTTTTTCTCTTTCGTTGTAGAACAGTTGTCCCATGGTATCTGAGGGGATTGGTTCCAGGACTCCAGAGGATACCAAAATCTGACGCTCAAGTCCCTTACGTAAAATGGTAAAGGATTTGCACATAACCTACATATCCTTCCATATACTTCAAATAATCTCTAGATTGATAATAATACCTAATAGAATGTAAATAATTGTTTTAAAATTTGTATTATTTTTCATTTATTTGAATATTTTTGATTTGCTGTTGCTTGAATCCAGGGATGCAGAGCCCACCGATATGAAGTGCCAACTGTATACCATACTTTTTTTTTTTTTTTCAGACAGAGTCTCGCTTTGTTGCCTGGGGTAGAGTGAGTGTCGTGGCGTCAGCCTAGCTCACAGCAACCTCAAACTCCTGGGCTCAAGCGATCCTCCTGCCTCAGCCTCCCAAGTAGCTGGGACTACAGGCATGCGCCACCATGCCCGGCTAATTTTTTCTATATGTATATATTTTTTAATTGTCCAGATCATTTCTTTATATTTTTTTTTGGTAGAGATGGGGTCTCACTCTTGCTCAGGCTAGTCTCGAACTCCTGACCTTGAGCGATCCACCCGCCTCGGCCTCCCAGAGTGCTAGGATTATAGGCATGAGCCACCGCGCCCCGGCCAAACTTCGCTTTTTAAAGTTCAGTAAATTTAGCACAAGAAGCCAAGGCTTTTCTGTTTAAATGCTAAAGGCCAGACTGAAATGGATTAAAGCATAAGACATGAAGGAACTGAAATATCAGCATATTTAACTTTCAGGAAGTTCTAATCCTTATCCATAGCTAGGCTCTATTCAGTATTTCTCACCATAGATCCTGGTAGTTGGGTTGAATTAACTTTAGTAAATGTGGGTAGCAAGGGACTGAAACTATAGAGTTGGCACAGACAAAATCAATTATTCCCTTTTCAGAGGCTCACAGTGTGGATATGAGAACAGGGTGACCTTTTTGGTAACAGATCTGCGGGTTCCCAAATCCTTTAATCCTAAAACCTTCACATATACACCTTACCTAACTATGCCATCTTACCTAACCTATCCCTCTCTTCGTCCTAGAGTCTAAACAGAAGCCCAAACTACTATTTCGGAGTGGTACTAAAACACCAGGCACTTCCCCGATAATCTGCAACCCCGTCTAGGTGCCACAAAAACTGAGTTTAAAATATTAGCTTCGAGCCGGTCCTTCCCCTCAAAAGCTCTTATCAGTGTTTGGTAACACTTTTTTACCTCCAGCTTGCAGCAACGAAGGTACCCAGGATCCCCAGCGGTTTCGATTGACGTTACTTCCGGGAAAAGTAACCTTTCTTTGGCGGTTGTAGGCCTGGTGAACTCTCGCGACATTTGCTCCCGCGAGATCTGCTGGCTCACTCTAGCGACGACATCCTCCTCCTCCTCCCCACCGCCTTTCGGCAATCTTCGCCAGTCCCAGCCCCGACCAATCTGCACTCAGATGGCATGGATCAGAGTCTCCCCCCGAACCCCGGTCCGCGCGGGGCGTCAGGCAGCAGCGGCGGGGTACCAGTTGCACGAGACCGACGGCAGCGGCACTGCGGGCGGCCACGGGCTGGTGACGAGCAGTGAGTGTGGGCGGGGCGGGGGTAGGCCAGCCGAGTAGCTGCTCGATTGTTCTGGCCTGGCTATGGCGCCTCTCCTCCCCCCCGCCATGGCTCCCCGTGTCCCTGCTCCGCTCCTCTCAGTGAGTGAAAGTGGCCGCCGCCGCCGCCGGCCCAGCGCCCGCAGCCGCCTCAGCGCCGCCGCCATCTTGGGGTCCCAGGAGCCGCCGAGGGAGCGAGCTAGGAGCGTCCACGCCCAACGCAGTCACGGTCCCACGGCCTCAGAGAGCGAACCGCGGCTCCACAGTCGGCGGGGCGACCCCCCCCTCCGGACCCCGCCCGCACCCCGCCCCCCCTCCGCCGCCGTCGCGGCGGCGGGGCCCGGCGGCCCGAGGTGAGGTGATTAGACGTGGGCGGGCGAACGGAGTGGGGGGGGTCGTGTAGGCCCCGTTGCGCCCCTCTCTGCGGGCGATGACTGGGCCGCGTCTTAAAGGGGCAGTCGCCCCCGGCCCTTGGATTTGTTGGGGTTAGTATGGAGGATGGGTGTGGACACTCCCCGCAGGGTTGGGACTTGAGGGACCTGGGCCGCTTCCTTCCCCTCTCATATCTCTGGAGGTCCGGGGTCACGGCTGTGACCTTAGCTACCTGAGGAAGCCCGTGGGGCGCCCACACGTGGGGTGTGTGTTAGACCAGGTGCACGTGGGACTCGGTGGGGCGGTGTCGGGCTAACACGTGTGTGGGTTTGGGGGTGGGGAGGGGCAGGGCGGGGGCAGGTTGGGCTGAAGTGGGAACCCAGTGAGGGTTATACCTGTCATTTTAAACAAATGAGATTAAAGGGCTTGTAAGTGTCAATTTGTGGGGAGAAAGTTGAGATATGGTTGAATGGTGCACGCTGCTGGTTGGTGTTGGGTGGGGGCAGGCTAACACGTGCAGAGATTTAAGAGAGTGTAGGTGACACCTTTTCTGGTTTTTTAGGGCGTCTAGGCAAGTGTCATCTTATTTTGACGTTCCTTCTTGAGCTTGCTGGTGAAAAGTACTACTTCCGTAATCACTGAGGATGGAAGCCCCCTACAGTTTAGGAGTGATAGAGCCTAAGAAGGCGCTTACTATTCTAGTTAACAGCCAACTGTGCCTGGAATTCTTCGATTCACACACTGTCTCTTGTTTCATGTTCTTGTACTAGTTAGGAGTGGGGGAGGGAATTTGGAGGTTGACCTGGCTAACAGGTCAGTTTTCCAGTCAGTGACTTTCATGATTTCCTTTCCCAACAAAATTTTCATTGTGGCTTTTCAGTGGCAGCTTTTCTTTTCTTTTAAATTTAAGTAACAGCTTTATCGAGATATGATTCATGTACCGAAAAATTTTAGCCTCTTAAAATGTATAATTCGGTGATTTTTTTTTTTAGTATATTCATTGAGTTGTACAACTATTACCACTATTTAATTCATCACCCGAAGAAGAAGCTCTAGAAGCCACTTAGCAGTTCCCCTTTCCACTCTCCCCACCTCTGGTAACCACTAATGTAGTTTCTGTCTCTGTAGATTTGATTGTTCTGGACATTTCCAATTTCTGTAAACAGTATGTGTCATGCGTCTGGCTTCTTTCACTTAATATGTTTTCAAGGGTCATTTGTGTTGTAGCAGGTATCACGATTTTATTCCTGTTTATTGCCAAATAATATTCCATTCTGGGTCTATTTTATGCTTGAAATTCCCAAGTTCCTCTTCTTAGAAAACAGCAATTTAGGATTATTCTATGCGGTAAAAGTTGTATACCTTCTAGATTTTAAAACAAATTTTGTTCTTAAGGCATTAAATTCCATTGTTTTAGTTTACTTTGTTCTTTTTCTCTACATTTTGTTTCAGAAGAATGCAAGTCAAAATTTTTTAATGATGGTTTTTAATAACGGTTTTTAATGACGGGGTCTTGCTCTGTTGCCTGGGCTAGAGTGCAGTGGTGTCATCACAGCTCACTGGAACCTCAAATTCCTGGGCTCAAGCGATCCTCCTTCCTCAGCTTCCTGAGTAGCTGGGACTACAGGTGTGTGCCACCATGCCCAGCTAATTATAAAAAATTTTTTGTAGAGATGTCGTCTTGCTGTATTGCCCAGGCTGGTCTTGAAGTCCTGGGCTTACGCGATCTTCCTGTCTCAGGCTCCCAAATTGCTAGGATTACAGGTGTGAGCCACTACACCTGGCCCAAATCAATTTTTGAATGTCTGCATCTTTTGATAGAAAATAACTGTAGAGAGCACAAATGTGATTAGAAAATTGAAGGACTAATAAAAATATTTTGAATACATCAAGGTGAAAATATTAAAGGATCAAATCATAAGCTATAGTGTTATAATTTCACTTAATGAAAGTTTGTCATAGTATTACCAAGAAAAGGTATGATAACAGCTTTGACTGCTAGTTACTTGTGTAGACACAGGGATAGGGAAGGAATAATAGACACCTTTTCTGACCACAAGAGGATAAAAACTGGCTTGGGGATTTAACGTGTCAACATAGAAGTTCAAGCAAAATATAAATGCTAGGATGCTGTGGATTTCTGAGTGCACAGAATGGGATAGGGTTAATAGGAAATTGTAGGAAAATAGTTGTGATAAGTTTTGTTTTGTTTTGGTTTTTTTGAGACAGAGTCTTGCTCTGTCGTCCTGCGTAGAGTGTGGTGTTGTCATCATAGCTCACTGCGACTTCAAACTTCTGGGCTTAGGCGATCCTCCTGCCTCAGCCTCCCAGAGTGCTAGGATCACCTGTGTGAGCCACCTCACCTGACCAAGTTGATAAGTTTTAAAGTTGGGTCTTAAGCATCAGAATTTTAATATGATACGCTGTAGTATGCAGAAGATGGGAAGACCATAGGCACTAATAATGGTTAAACATCTTTTATGAGCCAATAACTATGGAGGTATCTTATAATTTTGATCCACAAAACCCTCTGGTAGATATTCTCATTTTATGGATGAGAAAATTGAAACCCAGTGAAATCACCTAGCCAGTAAAGGATAGACTCATTATACTCCTGTTATAGTTCTTCTGCCTTTCCAAATATTCTAAAATTATTAATAAGATTCTTTATGTGCATTAAGTCAGAAATTCAGTTACAGAAACATTAGATTCACTTGCTAATCATGATACGGTAGGTTTACTTAGGGTTGAAAAGTTGGTCACAAAGTACGTAAGGGAGATTTCCTTATGTGTTAGGTCAGAAGTAGATCAGTAATAGTTAATGTAGTTGAAAAATGAGATACAAAAAAATCATTGCGACTAAATGCTATCCACATTTTTAACTGACCAGAGGAAAATGGGTTAATTGTGTGACATGCCTTTTTATATATATATATATATATATATATATATATATATATATATATTCGAGACAGAGTCTTGCACTTTTGTCTGGGCTAGAGTGTAACGGTGTTATCATAGCTTACTGCGACCTCAAACTCCTGGGCTCAAGCAATTCTCCTCCCTTAAATAGCTGGGACTACAGGTGTGTGACACCAAGCCCAGCTAATTTTTTTTAATTTTTTGTAGAGAGAAGGTTGCTCCTCTAAGCTCAGGCTGGTCTTGAACTCCTGGCCTTAAGCAGTCCTCCCACCTTGGCCCCCCAGAGTACTAGGATTGCAAGCGTGAGACACTTTGACTGGTCAACATGCCTTTATATAAATCTTCACTACCAAGGATTGACAGCCTATGTGATGTCTCTAGAGCAGGGTTCTTATATTTGTATGTGCCTGGGACTAATGAAGTCTAATGAAGCCTGTCAGCACCTCAGAATATGACTTTTAAATGTATAAAATATAGTTCCTGTATTTAAAAACAATTTGTGATGTAAGAAATTTTCTTTTTATTATTGAATTAAATAACTAGTGATAGTCTTGCTAAGATTGCTGTGTATGCTGCCTACATTCATAATTATAATTATAATTTAATTATAATTTCAATTATAAATTAGTGAAAATAAGGTGTAAATTTTTTTTCATCCAAGTTCATAGACCCTAGTTTTAGAATCCCTGTCCTAGAGATTCCTGGCCACATACCTAAGTTATTTCATGTGGGTCAAACCAGTGGTTTCTGTACAGGAAGTAGGATTGTTGACTTTTAAGTTCTTGTTCACAAGAACATGAACATGACTTCTTATAAGAAGAGCCATTCATACTTTAAGGAGAAACCTGGTAGTATAGGAAAGGCATTGGTTTGGGGCTTAAAAAGACTTGGGTTTGATTCCTATCTGCTGGGTAAGTTCTTGAACTTTTTTGAGTTTCAGTTCTTATCTTTAAACTGGGGATCGTAATTTCTGCTTCTGTGATTAGATGACTTGTTAACAAAAACACTCAACACATCAATGAATGTTAGTGTATTTTCTCCTTTGAAGAAATAAATATACCAAAGACTATGATATACATTTAGTTTTGATTTGGAAGAGGGGAAATAATTTATGTAATTGGAAGGAACAACATATATACACATGAAGTTTTCTCAGTTATTCAAGTATAGACTGTACCTTTTTAGGAATGCTACTAAGAGTATTCTTACTTTTTGTAAAAGAACAAATAAGGTTCCTCTGGGTTTGCATGCAGCAGCTCTTCTGGTAAGAAGTAGTTACGTAGGATAAAGTGTGGTTAAATCTTTCATATCTGTGTGCATGAACAGAAAAATGGCTAGTGAACATCAATATGGTAAAAAGCATGGTAGGCCAAGTGATCAGTTTATATCCCTGAGAATGTTACCTAAATATATTGCCAGAAGGACCAGTAAAATGTTAGTTATTCCCAAGAAAGGTATGAAAAATAAATTTAAAAGTAGACTGTATTATCTTGGTAAGAAAAATCTCAATACATCCACTCTTAGACTATTGGATGGAGATTCGAATTATTGTACCTCAAGGAAGAGCAAATTGAGCAATAGTAAAGTTTCCAGAAAGTGGCAATAAAAATGATGAGGGCAATGGTGAGGCTTTCATATGAAGATAAAGAGGGCTGGGTGCAGTGGCTCCTTCCCAGCTAGTAGTTCCAGCTATTTGGGAGGCTGAGGCTAGGGGATCACTTGAGCCCAGGAGTTCTAGGTTATAGTGAGTTGTGATGGGTGGTCACTGCACTCCAGCCTGGGCAATAGAGTGAAACCCTGTCTCTTAAAAAAAATAAAAAATAAAATAAATAAGTATTACCCAGAATGAGATAGACTGTGAATTGTATTGAGTTAGGGAAGAAACATGAATAATACTCCTGGAAAATTAGAATTAGCTTGAAAGATGAATATTGCTTGACAGGATTTGAATAATGAATGCTTTGTTTTCAAAACTCCGTACTGCAGAAGGTGCTTAAGGCTCAAGAACAGAGACCAGACCAATTTAAAGATTATAAAGCCAGAGACTTTTGTGATCCAA